TGATGATGATGGTGGTGGTGGTGGTGGTGATGGTGGTGGTGGTGGAGGTGATGATGATGATGATGGTGGTGGTGGTGGTGGTAGTGGTGAAGGTGGTGGTGGGGGTGATAAAGGGTTGGTGGAGGGTGATGATGTGTGGGGTGTGGGGTGGTGGTGTGATGATGGTGGGGTGGGGTGATGGTGGTGGTGGTGATGATGAGGTGGAGGGGGGGGGAAAATGTGATGATGGGGTGGTGGTGTGGGGTGGTGGTGGTGATAGGGTGGTGGTGGGGGGTGGTGGTGGTGATGGTGGTGGGGGGTGATGATGAGGGTGGGGTGGGGGTGTGATGAGTGGGGGGGGGGATGTGATGATGGGGGTGGGTGGTGGGGGAGGTGGTGGTGGGGGGGTGGTGGTTGGTGGTGGGGGTGGGGGGTGATGATGTGTTGTGGGGGTGGTGATGTGGTGGTGGGGGTGGTGATGGTGTGGTGGTGTGTGTGTTGGGGTGGTGGGGGGGGGGGGTTTTGATGATGATGGGGGTTTGGTGATGATATGGGTTGGGGTTGGGGAAAAGATGGTGGTGGTGGTGGTATGAATATGGTGGTTTATATGATTATTTTGGGGTTATTATAATTTTTTTTATTTATTTTAATAGGGTTTATATATATATTTTATTTTTTTGGGGTTTTTATTATTTTTATATATAATATATACACTCTACATTTTTTCCACACCCTTTTCTTAAATTACCTTGCTACCCCACCCCGCATCCCCCGCCCCCCAAACCCCAGCACCCCCTCCCGGCGCCGTATCCCCTTGTATTTGCATTTCTTTTTTTTTAAAATCAATTTTATGTAAAAAATATACCTTTTGGTTTTTTTTTAATTTTTTTTTTTCTTCTTCATTGGATTTAAGGGCCCGGAACGGTGACCCTAAACGAACAACCAAACAACGGGGTTCTAGAAAGCAATTAAGATTGGTTAAGCAACCCCCCCAAAAGTCACCCGACTTGTTTAGGTTCCAAGGGAATCTACATTGTTAACGTGTGTACCTGTACTAAATTACCCCTTTAATTTTTAAACAGCGGGTCAACAAAAGCGGGATCGCACTCGCTCCCTGAGTTTTTGGTCCCCAAGGAAGGTTCCTTGATGTTGGGGAGGGTCTTATTTAGGGAATTTGGGCTGTGCTCCAGTTCCCCAAATTAAAGCCTGAATGCCTTCCACACCCCCCCCGGGGGCTGTATAACCCCGGGTTTAGCGCTTCCCCCTTGATTGTAATAATAATAATAATCCCCCAATTAAGCCTGAATGCCTTTCCCCATTCCCCCCCCGCCTGTTAATCCTCCGGGGTTTAGCGCTTCCCCTTGATTATAATAATAATGAGTTTTTGGTAGATGAATAAGATAATATTTCGTTCGGATTTTTAACCCCGGAGGGTTAGCCACCCAGGATAACCCAAGAAAGTCAGTGCGTCATCGAGGACTGTCTAACTTATTTCCATTGTGGTCCTTAATCTTGTCCCCCAGGATGCCACCCACACCAGTCGACTAACACCCAGGTACCTATTTGCTGCTAGGTGAACAGGACAACAGGTGTAAGGAAACGTGTCGAAATGTTTCCACCCGCCGGGAATCGAACCCGGGCCCTCCGTGTGTGAAGCGGGAGCTTTAGCCACCAAGCCACCGGGCCTGGTTCAGAGAACCGACATGTTGATAAATTAGACACATATGCAACTCTTGGGTATCTTTATTGAGGAAACGTTTCGCCACACAGTGGACTGATGAAGCCACTGTGTGGCGAAACGTTTCCTCAATAAAGATACCCAAGAGTTGCATGTGTGTCTAATTTATCACACTCTGAGTATCCGTGGTTAGATCCCCGGTTGGCTGTAAACTTTGGGCGTGTTACCTTACACCTGCTGTCACTGTTCACCTAGCAGTAAGTAGGTACCTGGGTGTTACCTTGCACCTGCTGTCACTGTTCACCTAGCAGTAAGTAGGTACCTGGGTGTTACCTTGCACCTGTTGTCACTGTTCACCTAGCAGTAAGTAGGTACCTGGGTGTTACACCTGCTGTCACTGTTCACCTAGCAGTAAGTAGGTACCTGGGTGTTACCTTGCACCTGCTGTCACTGTTCACCTAGCAGTAAGTAGGTACCTGGGTGTTACCTTGCACCTGTTGTCACTGTTCACCTAGCAGTAAGTAGGTACCTGGGTGTTACACCTGCTGTCACTGTTCACCTAGCAGTAAGTAGGTACCTGGGTGTTACCTTACACCTGCTGTCACTGTTCACCTAGCAGTAAGTAGGTACCTGGGTGTTACCTTACACCTGCTGTCACTGTTCACCTAGCAGTAAGTAGGTACCTGGGTGTTACCTTACACCTGCTGTCACTGTTCACCTAGCAGTAAGTAGGTACCTGGGTGTTACCTTACACCTGCTGTCACTGTTCACCTAGCAGTAAGTAGGTACCTGGGTGTTACCTTACACCTGCTGTCACTGTTCACCTAGCAGTAAGTAGGTACCTGGGTGTTACCTTGCACCTGATGTCACTGTTCACCTAGCAGTAAGTAGGTACCTGGGTGTTACCTTGCACCTGCTGTCACTGTTCACCTAGCAGTAAGTAGGTACCTGGGTGTTACCTTGCACCTGCTGTCACTGTTCACCTAGCAGTAAGTAGGTACCTGTGTGTTACCTTGCACCTGCTGTCACTGTTCACCTAGCAGTAAGTAGGTACCTGGGTGTTACCTTACACCTGCTGGCACTGTTCACCTAGCAGTAAGTAGGTACCTGGGAGTTACCTTGCACCTGCTGGCACTGTTCACCTAGCAGTAAGTAGGTACCTGGGTGTTACCTTACACCTGCTGGCACTGTTCACCTAGCAGTAAGTAGGTACCTGGGTGTTACATTACACCTGCTGTCAATGTTCACCTAGCAGTAAGTAGGTACCTGGGTGTTACATTACACCTGTCACTGTTCATCTAGCATTAACTAGGTACCTTGGTGTTACATTACACCTGCTGTCACTTCACCTAGCAGTAAGTAGGTACCTGGGTGTTACACCTGCTGTCACTGTTCACCTAGCAGTAAGTAGGTACCTGGGTGTTACACCTGCTGTCACTGTTCACCTAGCAGTAAGTAGGTACCTGGGTGTTACCTTGCACCTGCTGGCACTGTTCACCTAGCAGTAAGTAGGTACCTGGGTGTTGCCTTACACCTGCTGTCACTGTTCACCTAGCAGTAAGTAGGTACCTGGGTGTTACCTTACACCTGCTGTCACTTCACCTAGCAGTAAGTAGGTACCTGGGTGTTACCTTACACCTGCTGTCACTGTTCACCTAGCAGTAAGTAGGTACCTGGGTGTTACATTACACCTGCTGTCACTTCACCTAGCAGTAAGTAGGTACCTGGGTGTTACATTACACCTGCTGTCACTTCACCTAGCAGTAAGTAGGTACCTGGGTGTTACACCTGCTGTCACTGTTCAGCTAGTATTAAGTAGGTACCTGGGTGTTACTGGTGTGGGTGGCATCCTGGGGGTAGTAGTATACCCAAGTACTGTGAAATTAACGAAGGTAGGATAGCTCTTGACCTGTAAACCTGAGCCGTTTAAAAACAGATATAAATCTTTCTGATATAATTGCCATTAATCAGGTCCTAAATTTATATAGCTTGACTTTCCAAAAATATAGCAGCTCGCGTTATCAAGGTACCATATCGCTATCTATAATATATGCAGAGAGATTATATATCGTTATATTACACCGTTTACCCGAAATATATTTAAGGTAACTAACGTTAGTTTAATGTTTATTATGCACCACATACCCATCCTGTGGGCGGTAGTCACCACATACCCATCCTGTGGGTGGTAGTTACCACATACCCATCCTGTGGGTGGTAGTTACCACATACCCATCCTGTGGGTGGTAGTCACCACATACCCATCCTGTGGGTGGTAGTCACCCCATACCCATCCTGTGGGCGGTAGTCACCCCATACCCATCCTGTGGGCGGTAGTCGCCACATACCCATCCTGTGGGCGGTAGTCGCCACATACCCATCCTGTGGGCGGTAGTCGCCACATACCCATCCTGTGGGCGGTAGTCGCCACATATACCCATCCTGTGGGCGGTAGTCGCCACATACCCATCCTGTGGGCGGTAGTCGCCACATACCCATCCTGTGGGCGGTAGTCGCCACATACCCATCCTGTGGGCGGTAGTCACCACATACCCATCCTGTGGGCGGTAGTCACCACATACCCATCCTGTGGGCGGTAGTCACCACATACCCATCCTGTGGGCGGTAGTCACCACATACCCATCCTGTGGGCGGTAGTCACCACATACCCATCCTGTGGGCGGTAGTCACCACATACCCATCCTGTGGGCGGTAGTCACCACATACCCATCCTGTGGGCGGTAGTCACCACATACCCATCCTGTGGGCGGTAGTCACCACATACCCATCCTGTGGGCGGTAGTCACCACATACCCATCCTGTGGGCGGTAGTCACCACATACCCATCCTGTGGGCGGTAGTCACCACATACCCATCCTGTGGGCGGTAGTCACCACATACCCATCCTGTGGGCGGTAGTCACCACATACCCATCCTGTGGGCGGTAGTCACCACATACCCATCCTGTGGGCGGTAGTCAAAAGATTACAGAGGTACATAATTGGTCCAGGGACTGGACTCCAAAGTTTTGATAGCTGAGCAAGTTACAGAGGTAATGAACTCACAATTTACAAAGGTAATGAACTCACAATTTACAAAGGTAATGAACTCCAGGTAGGTCTGGTCACAATCATGACACGTTACAAAGGTATTTACAGATTACAGAGGTACGTAATGGGTCCAGGGACTGGGCCCCCAGACTAAAATCTAGATTTATTTACAAGTCTTAATACTGCAAAGGTTACTAAGGCTATGGGAAATCAGTTCGTGTGAGACAGCCTCTGGTCAAGTGATCAGTACAATCAGTATAATCAGTACAATCAGTACAAAGATAAGGTTTGAGAAGATACTTGTCAACAGTGTTCCTTGTGTTGTAGTCACGTCAACACAGTCATGAAGAAATTTACCGCCGTAGTGTTGCTGTTGTGCGTCTCCATCGTTGTTAGTGGGAAATTACGTCAAATAGGTAAGTTAATGGTGCTAGACCCCCCCTCTAGGGAGGTTCCTTGATGCTGGTGAGGGGCTCTTGATCTAGGGAATTGGATGCGTGCTCCACTTCCCTTATTTAAGTTAATGGTGCTAGACCCCCTCTAGGGAGGTTCCTTGACGCTGGTGAGGGGCTCTTGATCTAGGGAAATGGATGCGTGCTCCACTTCCCTTATTTAAGTTAATGGTGCTAGACCCCCTCTAGGGAGGTTCCTTGATGCTGGTGAGGGGCTCTTGATCTAGGGAATTGGATGCATGCTCCACTTCCCTTATTTAAGTTAATGGTGCTAGACCCCCTCTAGGGAGGTTCCTTGATGCTGGTGAGGGGCTCTTGATCTAGGGAATTGGATGCATGCTCCACTTCCCTTATTTAAGTTAATGGTGCTAGACCCCCCTCTAGGGAGGTTCCTTGATGCTGGTGAGGGGCTCTTGATCTAGGGAATTGGATGCGTGCTCCACTTCCCTTATTTAAGTTAATGGTGCTAGACCCCCTCTAGGGAGGTTCCTTGATGCTGGTGAGGGGCTCTTGATCTAGGGAATTGGATGTGTGCTCCACTTCCCTTATTTATGCCTGAATGTCTTCTGTCCCCTTCCCCCCACACAGGCACTGTATAATCCCTACTAGTTCAGCGCTCCCCATAATGCTAGGATCCTGGGGTTATCTGGATCACATCTGATTGCCCCCAGTAGCGCCATTTCCATATCGGTGTGTGGTTCTTGCGGGTTTAGTGCTTCCCCGTGATAATTTATGGAATTAAACCTCTTCAAGGGGGGCTCCTTGGCGTGGTGAAGAGGCTCTTGGTCTGAGGAATTAGCCCTGTCGGTCTTCTTCCTCAGACCGAACCTAATTACCCCCCCATTCTCCCCTCCCCTATCCCATCCTCCCCTTTTTCCTTTCCTCCTCCTCACCCCTCCCTTTTGCCCTTCCTCTTTTTAGCCTTCGTGATTTCTCCCACAGGCGCGCTAGTTCCTAGGTAGGGGAAAGGACACCGGGGTCCATCCCATTCCGTTGAGGTTTCTTGGCGGTGGCGTAGTTTGCCGTGGAATCTGGATTGCCTAGGGATGTCCCGATCCCTCTCCGGTATCCCGGAGTAGCTTTGGGTGTCTTTTGGGCGACGGGTGTATCTCTGGAAGCCACCTTTCGGATTCCGGGGGTGGTGGCTGAAGGAGGTATGCTTTGTGGCGGATATCCGGCCGCCCTCTCTTTTGTCCACCGAGGTAGCTCGGCAGATGTGAGGTTGCTATCCCAGATTGCTGGTTTACTGGCATGAAGGGTAGGGTATGGCACGGGTTCCATGCTGCATCTGCGCTACTAGCGGTGTCGAGTCCTCTTGGGCGCGGAGGGGGATTTCTGGCCTTTCATTCCTCCTAGGAACTATCCCTCCACGGTCCCCCCTTTTTTTTTTCTTTTTTTTTTTTTTATTTTCTTTTCTTCTTTCTTTTTTTTCTTAAAAACAAAAAGAAAGAAGTAACCAAACCCCATGGCAGCCCTAGTCCATGAACCTGGTACCCCGGGCCCCCTTCTTGATTACCGCACCCCGTTCTGACCCCGCCTCGTCTTTGGACCATCTTCAGACATTCCTCATGCCTCTGTACCTATTGCCGGTGCTGTTTCCTCACCCGCTTCGGTACTGAGGCCTCGGACTGACTCTTCGATTTATCAGACCTTCGCTCTCCTCTGACTATGCTTCGGCCTCTCCCTCTACGGTGCGGCAATTTTCAAATCGCCGACCCGTTCCACGTCGGAACCAACTCTGGTCCCACGCCTAAACGTCAACGACAATTACCTGCTAATGATACTTCTCCACCTTCACCTTCTCGTTCTTCTCAGAAACGATCGACACGTCCTTCACTACCTTTCCCACGCTCAGTTTCAGACGGGAACAGGGGACTAAATTCTTCACTTTACGACCAACTTCCTCTACTGCCATCTTTCTGACCATAGTATTGGCAAGGCACCCCTTTACGCCATGTTGGTAAAAAATATTTCTTTTCATGCTCTTAAGAGGGGTTTACGCGCATCATTACCGTACAGAATGCTACCCAGGCTGGGGAGCTCTCTCGTCTTTCCCATATAGATACTGTTCCTGTCACCCTTGAAAAACATCTTTCCCCTCAATTTTGTAGTGGTACCGTTATTTCTGCCCCATACCATAGTTCAACAAAATTTCCAGAATGTGGCACCGACATTCTAGAACAGCTGGAACTCCAAAAATCTCCCAATCCTCAAGGTAGACACTTACGTTTTCCGCCCGTGGGCGGAGACGATACCCTAGCAATGTGGCTCGTTTAACTTTTGACAGCCGAGAAACTCCCATCCTCCGTTTATATAGCAGGACATCGGTTCAAGTTCGAAAGGTGATCCCTCCCACCACAACAGTGTAGAAATTGCGGGCGATTTGGCCATCCGGGCGAAATATTGCAGATCTATCGCCGAATGCCCAGTCTGGTGCCGATGACCATTCTAATACGTCTTGCAATTCGATCTCCCTCTTGCCTTAACTGTCATGAGGCTCACCCTTCGACTCTCGCGCTGTCAGGTCTATTTAAACGAGCGGAAATCCGTTACCTAAAAGAGACAGAAGGTCTCCCTTATGCCATGGCAGTTTCTCATCTCCGCCTCCAAGGGAGACCCCCACGTGTTCTTATTCCCGTTTTTTCAAAACGTCCCCCCACTTCTGGTATCCCATCTTCTACACCCACCTCTGTGGTTACCTCTCCCCAAAATTTCACTCCTGTATCTAATCCTTTTGCTGTCCTCGGCTCAGACGTCCCTATTTTCAACGCCTCAGTCTAATCTCGCTTCTTCGAGTTCTCTTTTTACAAGCCCCCGTATCGACGAGACCTCGTACGACCCTCTTCCCAATCGTCCCTCTACTTCCCCAAAAGTCAAAAAAGGTCCGGTAAAAACCTCCTACCCATCTTCCACCTCCTCATTTTACCCTCCCTGTCTCTGTCCCTAGTTCTTCCCTCTCACTGGCTCAGTTACAAGTGCAGAGGTTCACCCTCCTCCTCGTAATGTACCTTCCTCTCCTGTTCCCTCCCAAGTTCCTTCCTCTTCTGCCACCTCCCAGGTTCCTGTCTTTCTGTCCCTCCCACGCTTCTCCATTTTCCCCTCCACCCTTTCGCCCCCCTACCTTGGTACAGTCCAATACAGTTCAATCTTTACTCATCCTCCCCCTACCATTCCCAAAATTGTCTCCCATACGACATCTCTGAATTCGAAACACTTGAAGCAATCTCTGATTTTATTGCAGAGACCAAACCATCAATGGACACTGATCCACCTTCCGCTCTTTCTCTCTCCTCTGCTCCATCTGCGCAACTCCTTTCTTCACAGCGCACCGTTCCTTCGCTGCTTGAACATTTTCCACTGCCTCCGCATGTGGACTTTTCTAACCCCCTTTTAGTCCGTGGAACCTTACCTGCGGATTTCAAGTATCTTTATCATTGCAAACATGGCCTTTTTACAGTGGAATATACGCGGCCTCAGGGGTAATCGGGGTGAGCTTCAGATGTTACTCTCCCCGTTTGCCCCTGTTGGTGTTTGCTTACAGGAACCAAAATTACACTCTGCTGTTATTTCTCAACTCTCAGGCTATAATTTATTGTATTCTTCAGATCCTTTTCCTGATGGGCCTTTTAATGAAAGTGCCCTTCTTCTCCGCACTGATATTCCGTACCATCAGCTATTTATTTCATACTTCGCTGCATTAACAGCAGCCCCTATCCACTTACATAGGTGGTATACGCTCTGTTCTTTATATCTCTCTCCTTCTCGGGCAAATTATCTATTCCGGATTTTGCCTTCCTTGTTTCGTCATTACCGGGCCACCCATTCTGTTACTTGGTGATTTTAATGCCCACCATTTCCTTGGGGAGGGTCTCACTGTGATTCCCGTGGATTCAGTTAGAGGCTTTTCTTGCCCCCACCCCCTCCATGTTTTAAATACAGGTACTCACACCCATTTTGATCCTCGGACTCATACTCTCTCTTGCATCGATCTCTCAGTTTGCTCTTCCTCCGCCGCATTAGACTTTACTTGGTCTGTTCTCCCGGACTTACATGAAGTGATCATTTCCCAATCATTCTTACTTCCCCTTCATATACGCCACCTCTTCGCACCCCACGCTGGCAATTTAATCGGGCAAATTGGAACCTTTACTCACACCTAACTGTTTTTAAAGAGGTTCCCTTTTTCGTCCTCCATCGATGAGCTTTTACACCTCTTCTCGTCCTCCGTTTTCACCGCAGCTTCTCATTCTTTTACCCCAAACTTCGGGAGGCTTCTCAGAAATGCGTGCCTTGGTTTGGTCTCCTGCTTGTGCTCGTTTCAGTACATTTGAAACGCGCTGCATGGGGCAGGTACCCGGGACAATAGAACCACCCGAGCGACTCCTTGATTTTAAACAGAAGCGTGCGGATCGCTCGCCGTGTCATCCGTGACGCTAAACGCACTTGCTGGCGAGATTATGTCTCCACCATCACCTCTGCTTCCTCTATGAGTGCAGTCTGGAAAAAGTACGAAAACTGAGTGGGGAAATATTCTCCTGACCCGGCTCCTGTTCTGCGGGTTGCCGGTGTTGATATAGCAAACCCACTAGATGTTGCCCCTGAAATTGGCAATCATCTGGTCCGTATTTCTCAGGACTCCATCTATGCCCCTCATTTCTTTCCTCAAAGTCTGCCAGAGAGTTAGCACCCTTGGACTTTTCTTCTCTCAGAGAAGAACAGTATAATGTGCCTTTTACACTTCAAGAACTGGAGGCAACACTCTCAGCTTGTCGATTTATCGGCAGCTGGGCCCGACGACATTCATATTCGTATGCTACAACATTTACAAACAGTCAGCCCTTGCAGTCCTATTACGCCTTTACAATCTTATTTGGTCACAATGGTTCTTCCACGCTGTGGAAATCCGCCATTGTTCTCCCTTTCCGCAAACCAGGCATCGGGACATGAAACTCCCACTATCGTCC